GGCCTTAGTGCCATGTATTTCTTTTGGGCCTTGTATTTTCGGCCTAGTAGCATAGGAGTTTCATTTGAAGGTCATTTGAATTTAGGTTAATTAGAGTTACATGTGGAATTACATTAGCATTTAATTAGTAGCACATTTGGTGTGCATTTCGGCCATGTGCAACACATGCACATGGTGTGATCCGAAATGCAACTCAAATGGCTTCCTAATTACATGCCAAATGTGTGCACATGGGAGGGTGACCGGTTGGCACCAAAATTTGAATTTTAGAATTCAAATTTTGGCGCCTAGAGTTAAGATAACCATACCATGGTTTTACTTAACTCTAGGTAAACCCAACTTAAACCCTTAACCTAATTTAGCCTATAAACTTCCTTATGACCGAGTTTTGTAGACACTTTGGACATTATTGAATGAGTATTCTTCTCAAAGAAATCTCTCATCCGAAGTCATTTTACTCCTAGCCTCTACCCTCCTTGAGAGCTTCTCCTTGTAGAGCTAGGACACCTTACCTTCTTAGAACTTAGCTTGTATGCAAGCCTAGGTCACCTTGCTCCTTTGAGGCGTCTCTAATCCTTGAAGAATCTTCCAAGGAATCCGAGAAGGAGTGAAGAATCCATGTGCATCCAAGTGGAAGCACATCACGTTGGGAGAATGATGCAGTCAAGGATCGCCTTGAGGATCATGAAGCTCACCTTGAACACAAAATTCAACCTCTTGTTGCTGACAAGTGATAAATGATTGTTACAGTCCACTGTTTCTTAGATAGTTTAAACAATAGATGCTCTACTCTTGTCAGCAATTTGTCCCTCTCATACTTTATAATTTTGCTTCTAAAGCATATAATAAATGATGAGTACCAATGGTGACAAGGGAACTCTACAAATAAATGGTTACTTTTTGTTTGCTTTTTTATGGTTTTGGGCATCATAAATGTACTGGATAATGTTCAGCTTGCTGTTTACCACCTAAGCAATATCCTGAATGTGGAAATTACTATGTGATCAACAATTTAAACTGCACCAGTTACCTATGTGGTGTTTTTGCAGACTGAAAATTTTGATCCAGAATTCACACCTTCATACTACATAGCCGAGTTTTGAAGGCTTTTTAAAATGAATCAGGTTGCTGCATTTTACTGTGCAGTCACTCCTTTCATTCCCCAGAGTCATCACAGAGAAAGTTGGGTTGCTGTGGGAAAAATGTTAAATTCAAACACACTGTTGTTTAGATGAATGAGCTCAGAGATCGCCTTATACATGCAAAACAAAATCTTATCCCATTGGTTACTGAAGATGCTTGTGCTATGTTTAACATGAGATGAGTTACATATACTACAACTATTCATGATTTTGAATTGCATGGACTATGGAATTTCTTCAGAAATTAGAACTTAAGCAAAACCCAATTACAGACCCATTGGGAAGCAAAGGCAGACCACTTGAGCTTGGCTAATGGAGCATCATCTTTGAATTTTATGTGGCACATGAATAAAAATCAGACATAACTACTTGGTGGAAACTCAAACTTAATCCTAAATTATGTTCTGTTTTTTGTCAACTATATATGGATTAAATAAACGGAGGAAGTCAACCATTATGTTTAATATAAATTAAACATGATGCAAATGTACATGCAAAATAAAGTGACGTAAAACATCTGTCAATCTGGTCATAATTTGCCTTGTGTCTGCTATACACACCCAACGGCAGATCAATAAAGAAAAATTTTTGGGATCAAATTGATGTACTAGTACAGTGAGGTGTCTTTTCCTCTATTGAACCAAAAAAAACCTTATGGAGGTTGACTACAAGCTGACATCACCATAAGGTTTTTTTGGTTGTACATCCACGTCTTTGAGATCTATCATTCAACTTCCACATCAGTCATAAAACATAAAGTTTACATCTCAAAAAAAAAATTTGGGAGCTGGGGACTGTAACTATTCACAAGGATGCTTGATTTTGAACAAAGCATTATTTGTAGGGCTTGAATCAAGTATGACAGTGTAACTGTGCATAACCTATTTTCTCAACAGAACAACATAAGTTTATTTATGTTGTATAACTTGATAGTAAGCTTTTAACTCTTACATTTATGTTCAAGCTCACTGGGGTGCCAGCGTTGGTCCGTTGGGAGAATGCAGCCAAAGGTCGCCTTGAGGATCATGAAGCTCACCTTGAAAACAAAATTGAGGCCCTTGTTGCTGACAAATGATTGCTGGTGCACTGTTTCTTCGTTAGTTTAAACAAAGTATGCTCTACCCTTGTCAGCAATTTATCCCTCTCGTACTCTATAAATTTAAAGCATATAATAAATGATGAGAACCAATGGTGACAAGTGAACTCTATTTTTCTTTTTTATTACCAAATAATATCTTCCATTCAACAGAAGGATATTTTTTTCAAAAATTTGACAGATACTAAATAGATAAATATCCTCTGGTAACTTGAATTTTTTGCATTCACAAAATATAAAATTTGATTCTTGGACACTTGATTAAATGCGAGGAGTTTCTCTTTACTTGTGCCAACTCAATTTGGTGGCAAAAGAATTCTAAATCAACGGTTGGTGTTTACATTATGGTTATCTTTTTTATTTGCTTGTTTATGGTTTTGGGCATCATAAATTTATTGGCTAATTCTAGATAATATTCAGCTAGTTGTGTTGATAACCTAACTCAGACTGAATTTGGAAATTACTATATGGTCAATAAATTTAAACCGCACCTGTTAGCTAAGTGGTGTTTTTTGCATACTGGAAAATAGACCACCGTAAATTTTGATTCAGAATTTAACCTTCATACTACCTAGTTGAAAGGCATTTTAAAATCAATCAAGTTGCTGCATTTTACTGTGCAGTCACTCATTTCATTCCCCAGAGTTATCAAACCTGTCACCAGTAGTAAACTTTAAATTCAAACACTTCTTTATGGGCTGAGAAATCGCCTTTTACAAGCAAAACAATTTATTATCCTATTGATTATTAAAGATACTTGTGCTATGTTGAACATGATGAGCTGAGTTACATTATGCCAACACTATTCATAGTTTCGAAGTGCATGGAATTCCTTTAGAACTAAGCACAATCCAACCAGCACATTCACCTCTTACATTGAACACAACTATTTAAAGCGAAAATATTTTAATTTTAAGACTTTCTTTTTAACATGGACAATTTTATTTTTTTTTTCAGTGAGAATTTGTAAATTCTTTATATTTCTTATCTATATCAGTTTATATTTATCATATTTACTTTTAAATTGAATTTTCTTATTTTTAATAAATTAATTATAATAATCTTATATCATAATTTAAACTATCTATGATAAATCTAAAATATAATTTATTTATTTAAAAATATTTACTTATACAAATTACAAATATAATATAACTTATATATTCAAATATATTTAATAAAATATAATTTATTATAAATTTTAGTTATATATAATAAAATCTCTAACCTACGCAATATATGGGCTAAAGTACAAGTTCAGAAGCGAAGACAAACCATTTGGCTCTTGGAACATCAACTTTTATCTCCCAATTTTTTTTTTGTACAATCCTACATGTTTGACTCTTGTTCCACACGTACTTTTAAACAAGAAAATAAAAATAAAATAATTTTTCCTACAAATTACAATTAACTTAAGTAGAAATTTAAAATTATTTTTTAATATTTGATGTCCCACACTTAATAAAGTTAACACAAATATCAGACTAAACTAGGTAGAAAAACACATAATCTTAATTTAAGTTCTTCTTTTGTTAGCCAACTATATATAGATTAAATAATGAATCCAATCATTATAATTTAATATAAAAATAAACACTAATTCAAATTTACATGCAAAACATTGACAAAGACCATCTCTTTAAGCTGGTCATAATTTTGCCTTGTACGCCCCAAACGCATTTCCGTCCTAGGCTAGAAATCCACCTGCAAATCAATAAAGAAAAAAAATGAGAGAAGCATAAAGAAACAAAGACGTTTCAAACGGATGAAAAAACATATTTTGGATTGTATGGCATGGATATCCTCTGAACAAAGTAGGTTAAAACACTCCACAAAGAACTTATCTTTTCATCCTTTCATTTTCCTCTCATCCCTGGATTTCTCCAGAGAAAGAATATGATAACAGTGTCAAGATTGAAAAGCAGAGGAATCGGCACACAGGCAAAAAAAATATAAGGAATATGTTATAAAATGACTATAACTTGGTACAGATTTGAACAAAACTAAAATCTACAAACATGATTTGAGGGAACAGCGCAATGCTCTGTTAGAGACCTAGTCCTACATCAAGTGAGTCTTGGTAAAGACTTCCAAACATAGGATATAAACAAAGCCTTATGAATGATCCCCCACAATAGCATCCTAAATTGTAGCTCCTCATTTGAGAGTTAGAAGCAAGAGCGTTCTAAATGAGTGTATTCTCCTATTATAAGAGTGTGTTAATGTTCTCTCCTTGTATAAATAAAAAGTTTGTAATTTCTCTTTCACTTGGTAAAAATATTTCTCAAACCTTATCAGTGATTTTTTCATTATCAATTGAGGGTTTTCCACGTAATATTTTTACTCACTCAATATTCCACTAGAATTAGTCAAACCTCCAACAATCTCTTTCCTACTCAATTAGTTTCTATTATCACTTTTTTATCCTACTCGAGTTATAAAAGTCTTAAAAATGTACAGAAATTTTACCTATGTACACAAGGACTTGTCACAAGGAACAAGGAACTTAATATCAACTTTGAGCATTTTAAAGCGAAGGGGCCAACTTCAAGGTGACATCATCATAAGGTTGTTCTTGTTGTACATCAAGAAGATCATTCGTCTTTAAGACCTGTAATTCAACATCCACATCAGTTATACAAGATAAATTGTACAGGTCATAAAAACAGAAAAGTTGGGGGTGGAGGATAATTGTTTGATGAAAGTTATTTTTAGAACTTGAATTCAGGTATAAAAATAAAAATATATATCTCTTAATTTTATAGTAGAATTGAATACACATTTTTCTATCAAAGGTTAACAAAAACCTAAATCTGTAAAAAGGATTCAAAGCTATAATTTATTTATGTTGATCAAAAGAAACAACATCATCCAAACTTAAATAGGTAGACAGACAGAGAGATATGTAAGCAATTTTTACCCGTGAGGTTATTAAATCTTAACAATACAACCATGCATAGATAGTCAAGAATAAAGGTTAATAAAAGTCACAAGATTAATTTGAAAAATCTTAAGTTTTAAAAATGTTACAACTTTTATTGCTTTCTCACTATGTGTGTGTAATTCTAGTCATATTAAAAACATACACCCACAAACAACAAATATTCAGATTATTTGAAAATAATTTCTTTTCTGCAGTATATCACGAGGGTTATTAAGTACCTTCCTCATGAATCTACAAAGACACATATACATATGAGTAACAACCATAGCAAGAATAGAAACTTATAACTACACAGGTGTTAGGGTCACTTGAAAAATAGTGTGTCACTCGAAAGAATCGATTGATTAAGCACCTACTGAGAAGGAACATAAGAAATTATGAACATGCATACTCGAGATTGATTTGAAAATATGAAAGGAAGTCAATGGAGGTTTGGGACAGTTAAGACATACCATGGTGGTTATTAAAGATCAAATCGAAAAAGTAAAACATGGGGCGAACGGTTACTAGAAGTTACATCTTAAAGCCACGTGATAAACATGGTGGATAGCGGTTATTTTCCAATAACGCACGTACATAAAATTAACCGCCCTCGAATGACTCTATAAATAAGAGAAGCATAGTGATTTATAGGGGTCGGAAAACATCATACTTGAAACTCTCAAGCACTCACTGCCTGCGTATATGGCTTTCGTGCACGGAATTACTGGGTATGAACATTTCTCGGCCACATTTCTTTTCTCTTTTAAGGATTAGGATTAGTGTAGCTTCCTTCTTTTAATCACATAGTTATAGATTGTTTAACTTTAATATTGTAATTCTTGTCAATTATGCGAAGTGAACCATGATTTGTATTGCAAATATATTTATTGTTCATTCTATTTATTTGAGGATTTATATGAACGAATATTATTGCTTGTTAATCATTGATGAATATTTGGAAACAAGTAATTATTAAATCTTTATACTCCACTTCTTGTTCTTTATAGAGTTCCAAAATGCCAAATACCTAAGTTGAAACGTTTCTCGTGCTAGTTCGAATAAAAAGAATCCTAACTAATTCCACCACAAACAAATTGGCACGCCCGGTGGGACACGTTTAATTGAAAACATAATTGAACTAGTGTTAGGTATACATGTTGTATAAGACTTAGGAGTGGAAGAACCATGTCTACGTCTAATAATAGGAGAGAAATGAACAATGACACTCAAGTAGATGTAAAACACGTGAATCCAAACTCAGATAATGTGCTTACTGGGACAAGGGGGGCATCACCCCATGTTGTACTCGAAAATGTGGCTAGGAAAACCAATGTTTCCCAAGAATTCGCGAATGCCACTAGAGAATATCCCTGGGGTATGCCACAGAATTGGCGAAATACCCAACCTGTACATGTCGAAATGCCAGTGCCCTATTTAGGGCCAAATTCACAAATGCACGTGTCTCCACAAGGATATAATCCTGGACCAAATGGTTTGGGTTTTTTTATGCAAGACCCGTATCAACATGTAGGGACAAGTCATGAAGGGTCTCTGATTCGACAGAGTAGTTATGTCCCCACAGGTATTAGTAATCAGGCCATGATAGCCCTTCGACAACAAATGGACCATAGTAATCATGACATGGTTAATTTGTTGTCAACTCAGATGCATAATATAATGACCCCTTTATATGAATTAATAAATAAAATAGGAGACAAATTGGGTGATAGTCCACCTTTGAGAGCTATGAGTGCAAATTTAAACGATATGGAAAATCTAGGAGGAAATGGAGTTTTTCCCCAAAACTTAGGTCGACCTAATAGGATCCTTGATGATAACCTAGATCAAATTGTAGAAAGGGTACTAAACAGGCATGGGTTCGAGGTAGGTCAAAATGAACGTCCCTATTTTGTGTCTGCTTTTCCAGAATACATAACTCAGGTAGAACTGCCTAGGGGGGCAAAATTCCCGAAATTTTCAAAATTTGCGGGAGAATTAAATGAGTCCATTGTTGAACATATAGCTAGATATTTAGTCGAATGTGGAGATTTAGCGAATAATGTATTTAAAAATGAAGTATTTTCCGAGTTCGCTACTAAGCATGCTTTTACATGGTTCACAACATTGCCTCCTAATTCGATAAATTCTTGGGCTCATTTAGAAGGTAACTTCCATGAACATTTTTTTCGAGGAGAAACGAAAGTTAGTATAGTCGATTTGATGAATGTTAAAAGACAAAATCGTGAAACGTTAGACGACTATCTAAATAGGTTTAAGCAATTAAAATCTTGATGTTATAATAATATTCCTGAACACGAATTAGTTAAGATTGCTGCAACAGGGTTAGATTTCTCGATTCGTAAAAAATTAGTCAATGAGCAATTAAGGGATATGGCCCAGTTAGCAGAGAAAGTAAGGAGAATCGAGCAAATTAAGTTAGAAAAGGAAAGATTGAAGAAATTTGATAGATTTGTTCGAAAAGAAAAGGTGGCTTATTTAGAGAACACAGAAATAGGTGAGGATACTAATTGTGAGGGTTCGAGTGAGGATTTCGAGGTTAACATAGCTGAATTGCATCCTGGCCCAACTTATCAATGTCAAATGTTGAAACCAGGAGATAATATAGAAGGGAGTACAACTAGGCGATATAGTTTCGATGTGACTAAGGCCGATAAAATACTTGATATTTTATTAAAGGATAAACAGATTGCACTCCCAGATAACCATAAAATTCCTCCGTTCGAACAAAGAAAAGGGAAAAAATTTTGTGAGTATCATAACATGTATGGTCATTGGACTAATAATTGTGTGCGTTTCAAGGATATGATCGAGAAGGCGATCACTAAAGGTCGTTTGGCCTTCGAGGAAAAGGACATGAAAGTGGACACTGATCCATTTGTAGCTCATACTGGGTATATAGAACCTGTCTCGATGGGAATCAATATGGTCGAAGTGAGAATTGAAGAAGATGAGAATGTTGAGCCTATTTCTGAAGAAAAACTCGAGGAACTGTTGGATGATTTTGCTAAAGAGGAAGAACCTATCTACCCAAAGGAGGGAGATAGTTTGGTTGAGTTCCTATCTAAGAAGAAAGATGTTGATAGGGAAAATGGAATGCCCCACCCAGACAAACGGTTGGAATGGGTCGAGGAAAACAAGTTATGAACTATGCTGGGCCTACATTCCAGGAAATTCCCGGAAAATTCTCAAATGTGTCTGGAGCTCCTGGCAAATTCTTGAGCATGACTAGAAGTTATGGGCGTGGCTTTCGACAACCCTTTAAGAATCTAACTAAGACTCAGTGGAGGAGGCAACAAAGAATGAGGAAAGCTACGTTTGAAGGTTTCAAAGGGAACCTGTTAGTACTAGAAAATGAATTCGGAGATACTCCAAATACAGGGGCACTCAAAATCTTAGTTGATTGGAAAATGGCAAAAGAAGTTTCTGAAGGGAGTATACGAAGCCTGAAGAGAATCAAGAGACACACGAAGACTCTTTTCGTGAAGCTCTCAAAATCATGGAACCAGGAAGGATGCTGCTCAGGAGAAAGGCTCACAGCCCCGCAACCTCTCAAAGTACAAGCAAAGTCAGGAAACATTCAAGTATAGTTTTCGTTGGTTACTTGAAATCCCAAGAATCTGGACATACACAAATACACTTCGTAACCTCTTAGAATGAAGAACTTAAAGAAGATAGGATTTAAGAGAGGTCGAAGTAACATGGGATAAGTGTCAAAGGATGCAGAACGGTTTGGGGAAGTTAATGAGCAGTTCCATGAATTATCCAAAGACGTGCTCGGGAGTAAGCCACGATGTGGAAGTTTAGAACATTTATGCACTTCCGGGGCACGTTAGAAACAGTTACATTTCCCGAATCTTTGTCTATAAATTAAACGAGTCATGCTCGTAGCAAGGGGTCAGAAATCTAATTCCCACAATACCTCACACGCACTCCGCAGCCTGGACATAAGACATACTGTGCATACGAGACAACTTTGGGTACGATTTCTCGACCACCTTTCTTTTTCCTTTTTTAGGAGTAGCGTAGCATAGCATAGCATAGCATAATCTAGTCTAGTGTAGTGTAGTCATTTGAACATGTTTCGTTATCTTTACGAATTGTAATTCTGTTACCATTTAATGAAGGATATGATTTCTACAGTCAATATACATTTCATCTGTTCGATTCACGTTAATTCTTACATGCATGAATTTGATTGTATAATTAGCATAGATCTTCTGATGTGCTGAAACATGCATAGATCTTCTGACGTGCTAAAAATAGCATAGATCTTCTTACGTGCTCGAACAAAGAGCATAGATCTTCTAACGTGCTAAAACCAACATAGATCTTCTGACATGCTCAAACAAAGAGCATAGATCTTCTGATGTGTTGAAACAACACCCTAAATTAACTCTATTTGTTGCTTGTACAATTTTATTTTTTCACTGAAAGTCTTTGATTCTGTCATGTCACGAACACGCATAAATTGAACGTGAACTCGTGCTAGTTCGAATAAAAAGAACCTACAAACGAAATCCTCCACAAAAAAATTGGCACGCCCAGTGGGACTCGTTTGGTGAACTTCTTTGAATTAATTAAACTAGTTTTGTGTGTGCTTCTATTTTTATGAGACTTAGGAGTGGGAGAACTATGTCTACATCCAGCAGAAGAGATGCGCTTAATGAAGAACAGGGTAATGGAGAAAA